CGCCCGAGTACCAAGGAGGTTATCAGGAATACCAGGTTAGGATCTTTACTGCAGCAAGTCTGGGGGCTTGGCCTGAGGCCCCTTCCAACCCAAATTATTCCATGTTGCTTTGTTCTACCTTAAAAAGCACAGATGTCAGACTGATTTTCTTGGAGACAGAGTTGTTCTTTGGAAATAAGCAAAACTGTGTCTAAAACATGCTTGTGCACCTGATGGAGCTGCTGGAAAAGCCATTCCTTTATTTTGGGAAGGAGTTTGCCCTTTAAAAGAACATTCTGTACCTGATTCTGATTTTCAAGGTTTTAGAAGTCTCGTTTTGCAGTTGAGCGTTTTGACAGCTTTCTTTTCAAGTTTACATTCAGTCTTTAATAGTTGCTATAATTTCACTTTTAAACAGCACGGTTCTTCAAAGCCAACAGTGAAACAGCATCAACTGAGGTCTGTCTGGTGATCATGAGGGGTTCTCAGTGGCTCATTTCTTTAGCTGTCATTTGTCAGAACACACTCATGTAATCTTAATGAACAATGTGCAAAGCCATTAAAAACTCAATTACGGCTTTCTTTTTACTGCAGACGTGAGAAAATGCAATCATAAAGTGCTGATGTGTAAACACAATAGCCACCATCTGCTACAGAGTAGCATTTCAGCTCCAAAAAGAGAATATATGTTGCAGATGCATCAATAATAGGACGCTTATCAAGGCATCATTATGCACCAAGCAGGGGAAAAATTGAAATTTATGGCCAGCTAGAGAGCACTTCATGGTTTAATTCCCCAATTTTCAGTGGTATGTTTAATAACTATGAGAGAGTGCCATTTTATGTTCCTGTGGTTCGAACAGATTTTTAAAAATGAATTTATTTACCGTCTTCCCATCTTCCTTGTTTCTGACTGACCAGAACACAACACATTCATTTTTGGTTATTCAGGACAAAACCAGCAAGATATTAATTAATCTAACCTGTTGATCCAAGAGCATTAAATTTAATTGATCTGATACTCAATCTGCTTTAATGAGCATATACTTCTGTGTCCAATAAGTATAAAATAGAACTGTTACACAGTATAGGTAATTCTTTTCCCTAAAATTCGTTTTTTCAGTTTGATGTTGACTTTATGATATTTGAGCTTTCTGGATGGAGGCAAACAAAACAACAAGGCTAAATCTACTGTTACTATTTTTCAAAATTGGATATGCAATGGTCTAAATAAGAGTTTCTCTAAGATACCTTTTGTTTTATTCAGATTCTTGCCTGGAGACATTTAAGTGGCTTTCAGTCATCCATCGATCAATAATTTCCATTTGTGACATGTTAATTCATTCCCTAGTTCTTTATATGAGCGGAAAAATGTGACAAGTGGTTTGTTGGTGCCAGACCAGATTGTATCTCTTTTACTTGCACATACAGGCCTATAAATTGAGAATAAGTCCCATCAGCTTCAATTCCGTGTTCAGTCTAAAGAAGGCTGTCAGATTCTGAATCACAATATGTCAATTTTTATTAAGGATAATAAGGAAAACCACACTTGTCCTTAAAAGGCTTTTTTTAACTGGTGAGAGCAATTTTCATGATCTCTCACCTACCTCTAAGTGATGTATCCTGCCTGGACAAGCTTCACTAGGCATGGATATTTATAATAGGACAGTGGATCTCAGCTGTTGATCTTGGAGCATGAAGAGCAAACTTTTGAAGGTCCTAGAGGACAGTGAACAGGATACCCACTCAAGTTCATGCTATGAAAAGAAAAATGAAAATGGGTATATTTGGAGGCCAGTTTATAGAATACAGGGTATAATTTATTCACAACTGAATTTTGTAGATCAGCATATTCTTGCATCTCATGTCAATTATGCTCTTGATTAAACTGCAAGTTTATACTCCCCTACGATGGCCAGGCTTGAGGTGTTGTGCACTATGCCTTGACTAGCCAGTAGAAGGGTTTGTTGTGGAAGCTGTCAACTAAGTCTGCAGAGGAGAGGAATGTGGTATGGTTAGTAGATGACAAACTGATTTAAATAAGGTGTGAGTACTTCTCTCTGATGGAGATGGCACTATAAGGGGAATTTTTCAACTTTTCCATTGTCATACAAAATAATACCTCTTACCAGGACTTTACTGGAGACTGGTACATTTTTATAGTATTTTCTCCTGTATCTCTAGGCATACCGTATTTAAAAAAAAAAACAAAACAACAACAAACCTATAAATAAGAAGCTATGAATAATTTGCATATGACAATTGTTTGTAATGCTATTCTTTTAGTAACTAAGTGCTTTGTGGTGGATGGTTATTTTACTTGCTCATGTTGTCAATTGCTAGATTCAGGCTCCATACTCTCTCTAGAATTGTCAGCAGTTGCACAAAAGGCCATTGTCATACCGCAAATACCTTGTGATTCATTTTTTTGTGGGTGGCAAAAAATAAAATTGTAATTATTGCTTTGAACTTTGTAAAAAGATGATGTTTTTTCTCCCAGTGGAGAGCTTGTTATTTTTATACATGAATCTGTAAAAGTGAAATATTCCCTAACTTTTTCTATCATTGAAACACTTACCCCAGTGCAGTTCAAGACTGTATTGTGTTAGACACTCTACAGCTTCAGAGTAGTTCATTAGGGTAGGAATCCATGTATTATCCAAATTAAAAAAAAAAAAAAAAAAGGATAAAATTTGAGAAAGATGCCCAAAAGTGAAATGATATCCCCTATGATCCAATCAATGATGGTGCAAAAATTAGTTTTCCTGGGTTCCTACCCAGTGTAGCAGGCACTTGGTCAAAAACCTTGTGAATGCACAAGAGCTCTACTTTTCTTCACTGAGTGTTTTAATTGACCGTACCGTCATCCTCAAGTATGAGATCTGACAAATGTAGAACTTGTCTTCTTGTATTTCATACTGTTCCTCAAAATGGCATTGAAATGCTGCAGGTAGTGCATTTTACAGCAGCTGCTATGCTCCTCTACACTATACTACTGTTACTCAGCAGTTTTAGAGTGGCCTTCCTCCCAGATTCTCAGTAGAAGAGTGGTTCTTATGACTATTCTTGCTTTATTTGTAAGGGAAGATAAGGCAGACTATGTATACTGACAGAGATCATGAAAGTGAGTGTCATAATTAGTCTTAGAAATGAGGCTGTCAGGTTTCCAGCCTGCTGCCTTACCTATCAGGCTGCGCTGCCTCTTCAAGCCTCTTAGCAATTGTGCTTTCTAATAATAAATTATCTTAGGTCACAGAAACAGAATCCAAATCTCAGTTTTGAGAAACTTTAGTTTATTTGGGTGGATTTTTAAGAATAGTATGTATACAATACTTGCTCAAGAAGGGTATTTTGTGGTTGACTGGGAGCAGAATTAGATCAACAGTGAACATTTGTCAGGATCACGCCTTATGGACTTTGATTATTAGAGAGAAATTGAAAAGTTTGGATTCAGCTCTCATGTTTCTCGAAGTCCTGGCTGTGAATTGGGAGTTTCTTGATTTGGTGCCATTTTGATTTTCAATATATCAAAACGAAAGATAGGATTGCCAGAGAGCATCTTGCCTATAAATTTTCATATTATTTAGTACAGCCTCTTCCCCAGCTGTGCTTGCATTGTGCTTGAATTTTCCAAGGTCTCTAGAGTGTGTGTTGGGGTTTTTTTGTTGTTTGCTTTTTTTGTTTTGTTTTTTTTTTTAAAGATTGACTTCCTTCTGCATCCGTGCTTTTCAATCCTTTACAAAATGCATATATATCATATAAACACAGGGGAAAAAAAAAAAACATTTTTGTGGCAGAAAGTTGCTGGTATCTGTTGATACAAATTTAGAATATATGGCTGTTCACTGCACAGAATTGATCAAAATGTTTATCTGGCTCATCTGAGTGTCACACTGCTACAGCATGGAATAGGGAAAGTCAATAGGTTAGAAGTGAGGCAGGGCTTTTCAAACTCAATCTTCTGTGAACTGCAAGAGGCCAGCAGAGAAATACATTTGTAGCATGCCTTGGCAGCAGCATCAGAACTGAGAGTGTCAAGAGGGCTGCGTTTGATTAAAAATTATCATGCCTGGCTGCTGACACACAGATTTCCACCCCACCCCCCAGTCTTGGTATTTTCTCAGTTTTTTCTGAGTGTGAGTGTCTGTACACACATAAAGGAGATCCTTTAAAGAGAATTGAATCAAATAACTCTCATAATGTTTTTCCTTATTGCTAACATTTGTCACCTTGATGCATCTGTGAAGAGATGAGTCGAGACACAATGTGCTGTAAAGTAACTGCTTGATGAATCAAAATGTGAATTCAGCATCAAGTGCCACAGTTAATATGATGCAAGCTTCCAGGTTAAAAAAATCATAAATTATCTTAGTAAATATTTCCCTCCCTAAATTCACTCTGTCTTTCCCTCCTACAAGAATAATTGTCCTTCTTGCATTATTTCTAGTTGAGATGTTGCTTTTATGCTAACAAGCCTAATTAATTTGGGCTCTGAAAACTGGGTTTTCCTTAACACATTACAACCTTCAAAACTTTACAGTGCCAAGATGCAGGGTTCACAGGAATAGATTGGCACAAAGTGGGTAGGGACCATGTAGGCAAACATCAGCTGAGAATTAGGTCCCTTGTTGTTTTTGTATTCAATGTGCCTTTGGGGGACTGTATGCAGTAGGAGAGCCTCATTGCTGCTTGAAGTGTGAATATGCTTTTGTTTAGAGTGACAGTTTTATCACAAGGTTATAAAATAATAAAAGCAAAATAGTATTTTTATTTTGATTTCTAAGTTATCTAATTAAAGTGGTTCTAGTTGGACCCGAATCTATTTGTGTATATACCTTGCAATTTTAATATCCTTTCTCTCTGTTACCTAACAACTATCATAAAATAGCTAGTTTGAGTTCTTCAGATGAATGTTTTGTTTTCTGGCTTCTAAGGGAATCCCTGACTTTTCTAATGGAACTGTTTTTACTGAAAAAACCAAGCAAACCCCCTCTTTCTTCTCTTTTTGCTTTCCTCTGTAGGCTCCTTCATGATGGTGAACAGCTCTGGGCGGGCATCTGGGCAGAAAGCTCACTTGCTGTTGCCTACGCTGAAGGAAAATGACACGCATTGCATCGACTTCCACTATTACTTATCCAGCAGAGACCGTTCGAGTCCTGGCTCTCTGAATGTCTATGTGAAGGTGAATGGAGGACCACAGGGCAATCCTATATGGAATGTCTCGGGGGTTGTTACAGAAGGTTGGGTGAAAGCAGAACTTGCCATCAGTACATTCTGGCCACATTTTTATCAGGTATGAGTTTGTATATTTTTCTTTCTGTGTCCTTTGAACTTTTGGCTATGTATAAGCTAAGTTAGCAATGGGTATTCTGAAAATTAAATCTCCCCCAACTTTCTCCTATCAGAATGGATTTACATATAGAAGTTTTTCTAGCAAAAGGTTTATACAGGTATCTTGACATATTTCTTTCTGCTTCATCCTTTTTCTTCAGTTGTTGTCAAGTCACAGAGGGATGGATAGACTGCTGGGAGTCAAATTATTGGCAAGTTAAGACCCACTTGTTTATCATGAAATTGACACATAAACACACTTGTATTGGCCCTTTCCATGGCACTTTGTAAATGTAAATACAACTGAGTGTCTAGATGTGTAACTGTATCTTTGCATAAATTTGTCTGAACTATTTTTGGCCTTTACTTCGTTCCATAAGAAGGAACATTTGTTCACTCAGCTTTGTAACAGGACTTTTCCTGTGCCTGTGTGATGGGTGCAAGTACGTAAGCTACTAATAAAATCTTGTACCATGTTATCAGCATGAGTATACTCTTCATCAGATCCTCCATTCCTCTTTTTAGCACTGCTTGTAAGATAGTTTTACTTGTTCTGTTAGGAGATTTATATTTTTAAAACAAGCACAAAATTGGGGAATGTAATGGGTAAGTTGTTTTTTGGTTATATTAATTTTACAGCTACTTGTTAGCTGTCCACTTCAAACTTCATGTGGCAACTTTGCAGTCATTGTTTTAGTTTTAATTAGACAAGATTGCACACAATGGACTTGCATACTTCTTGTTAGGTGTTAAAGGTGTGTTTTTGTCTTGTTTTACATTCAAGGCAAAAAAAAAAAAAATCCTGGGAGGTAATTGCACCCTAAACCTTGTAGGAAAAGCTGATGTTCATATGCTAATAAAAGATACGAGTGAGATAGGAATTATGATAGAATAAACTATGAAAAGGCAGCAAATAGTCTGTGGATAGAAAATAGCAGGTAGAAAATCTTACCTTTTTTTTTTTCTTTTCTTTTTTTTGCTTCTAATAACTGGGTAGGAGGTCTATAAAATCCGAGCTGAAGTAGAATGCTTTAATGTTCTGCCTCTGAAGAAGAGTTGGGGATATCAGCAGAATACATAGAGCACGCTATGCAGGGTGAGAGGAAGGGATAAAGAGTTGCAAATGTGTGGAAAGTGGAGTTTTAAGGGCTGTGCACAACTTGTCACTTGTTCTGAAGTCATATTAAAGTGCTTATACTCCATTCATATTAACATGAACCTGGTCATGAACCAGAATTTTCTTCATACTAGGTGTTCCACAGAGATAACAGAAATGATCTTTCACCCAGATAATCAGTGCTTTAACAACCTGGAAGAGACAGTCAGATCTCACACTAAGAGAGATCCTACTCTTAGATATACCAATAGTAGACTTCCTGAGCCTTACTTCTTTCGCAAGTCCTTTTGCAGGTTATGTTTGCTTTTCCTGAGCAAAAAAATCCTTTAAATTAAACAAGAACTTTTCAGTGCAGCGCAAAATTGAACAGATTGGAACCCAGCAGTAACTGCCTAGGAGTAGTTCCTTCCTAGAAAATGCAAGGGTTTTCTTTTTTTACTTTTTGATGAATGGGGGTGATGTTTCCTTCTGCCTATATTTGTATTCTTATTCCTTAAGTGTGGCTTTTAAAAACTGAGATCTGTCCCACTGTTATGGGGGATCTAATAGACTGATCTATCATCAGTCCCTGATTTTATAAACCATCTTCTGTTGATGGTGTGCAATCTTGTGAGTTTCTACACTTAATCGAGGTTTTAAAGAAAAAAGAAAAAAAGAAAACTTCAAGCTTGCAAAAGTGAAAAGCAAAACACAATGAAGGACTTAATCAAAATTATTGTTATTTGGCAGCCTAAAGTAACTCTTCTGGCTAAAGGAGTCCAGAGGTAGCAGGATGACAAAAGCTTGGGTGTAGTGTTGCCTAGGGAGTGTCTCACTTCACACTCGCAATCTAGGATGTGCCATCGGAGTGTTATTTGTCAGCTTTAAATCAAAATTGCATGCCTGGAGAATTCTTTGTATGCAAGAGGCACGAAAGCATGTTCTGTATTTCAAAAGCACCAGATAACACTGGAAAACAAGCGTTTTTCCTAAATAATGACATCTGTATTGGGCAAAATGTAGATTATTCTCTTAAAGCACAGAAACCACACCATTTTGAATTGCAATGTGCATCAAAAATTCAGTCAGGCAAAAAATCTGAAACTATCTGCCCTGGGTCCGAGGCTTTGACAAGTACTTTGAGCTTTGGAGATGTGACTTGTGGAAAACTAGTAACCAAGCCAATTGCCAGAGGTCGTGCTTTACGTCTGGCAGTTCTGTGCAAGGGTCATATGAGTCATCTGGATCCAAAAGCACTCTGCAGAGATATAAACATGGGGATGGTGGAGATTTATAATGTCTACCCTAGAGTTACTCGTACTTGGATTCCCAGCCTGCAAATGTTTTTAGTGTAGTGAAAAAAAAGCTCTAATAGTTCTTGGAGAAAGGTAATACATGTAATCTTGAATTACTGCTTGCCATAAGGATGAACTTAGTCCCAGAATGCACCAAGGGTAGCACTAGAGTCTGCCAAGAAGAGTTTTTTTGATGTATAGCAAGGAATGTTATTGATCCATGCCTGAAGAAAACTGTTGTACCACAACAGATGAGCTAGGCTACGTTGCTAACACAGACATTGTTGGTATATAGCAGCAGTGAAATGTAGGATTGCTTATTGGTAAGGAGACATGAAACGACTTAGTATTTGCAGTTCTCGGGAGCATTTAAGAATGTTTTTTAAGAGTAAAGCTTTGCATTTTGTCATCTATATTAATTTCTGAGAAGTTCCTTAAATGTAAAGCATTACTAAATGCCTATGTCTCAATCATTATACTAAATTTCCGGCTGAAGTTAAAAGGACATGAGAGGGATATTCAGTGTGAAATTTGCAGAACTGGGCCCCATAAGGATTTATTCCTGCCTTTTCCTCATGTTGAGTCTCAATTCCCTGTTTTCAGGAAAATCTGGGTGCTTCTGTACTTCTTGCTTGGATAGGGCTGAGATACTGCGAAATACAGAAAAAGACAACAATATGGAAGTTTGAACTGGGAAACAACACTAATATTGTGCGTAAAGTGGAAAAGATAATAAAATAGTCTGTCAAAACAATGTTGTGTGAATTGAGGATTCCTCCACTCTTTTCAGTGGATTCTGCACCAGTGTGCACGGTTTTTTTAGGAATTGACTTGGTTCTTACTGGCTTAAGTTATATTTTGCTATATTAAAGAATCTGTACAAGTTGGTAATTAACAGAAGACAATTCTCTATGTATTGGTGCTTACTTTTGCCACACACTAATAGCTAATGCCAATGCCTTGGAGAACTATTCTATCCCAGTTCTTGGCCTGCAGGAAATTGGGAATTAGTTCACTGTGGCTTATAGCTTTTCACAAATGCAAAACTAAAACAAGATTTTGTACCTGTAATGTTGCACTTCAAGTCTGAAGGGAGTTGCAGTAGTTCCTTACATAACCTCTCCAGTAAGTGTAATTTTTATCACGAATGATGTCTCATTTCTAAAATAATTATAATTTTCCATACTAAGGAATACTCTTATTTTATACAGTCCCTAAAAAAGCTTATCAAGAACCTTGATAACCAAAATACTTGTTGATGTTTTTTAGATTATTTTATCTTCCAGAGTCTTGCTTCCTCCTATTGCTCCTTGGACAGCCTATTTTTTGTCCACCCTCCTCTGGAGTAGAACTTTGTTTCTACATATTGTTAGCACTTGAGCTTTTCATAGTTTATATCCTTGCCTGTTAATTTTTGTGTTTTACCTGTTTTTATCATGTCTTTTTTCTAATGGATGTATTTCAGAAGATCTCACATTTGGATGTGTTTTGAATTGGGGGAGCAGATCTTAGGAAGTCATGGAAACATAAGTAGAAACTATGTTCTGGAAGACCAATTGCAAAGCAAAATGATGAACAGCAATTCTGTACTTACAAAGGACATGTTAGTCTACTTTCATAGCCAGGGCATGTGGTGATCAGCACTTGGACAGTTGAATCTTTTACTGTATTGTATCTTCTGATGAAGGACATGAAGAAGAGGCTAAACAGTGACAGACTAGGAATACCAGCTTTTATTCAGAATGAAAATAAGTGCTAAAAACTGGCTTTAAGTAGTTAACTTTGTGCTCTAGTAATGAATTTTAGAGGTTACAAATTACTGAAATACTTTCTCCTACGAAACAAGTATCTGCACTAGCATACTGCTTTGATAGTAATAACTGTGCCAGCTGAACATGTTAATTAACTTGGTCCTTGAAAACATTATTGTATACTCATGCAAAAATGTGCAATTTAGTACAGTGTGAACATTACTTTAGTAAGAGGGAATGAAACTGGGGACAGCCCTTTCAAATGCAGAGGGACAGCATCCATTACATCTCCACCCATTCTTTTTTTTTTTTTTTTAAATAGTAAAGGATAGCACTTTATTCCTTTGCAGAAAGAATCACTAACTTGAGAGGTAGCATTACCAAGATGTTAAGTAATCAGTCTGCATTTTTCTTTTTTTCTATTGCAGTTTAACATTTCTAAACTTCCTGTTCCACATAGAATCATAGAATATCCCAAGTTGGAAGGGACCCATAAGGATCATCAAGTCCAACTCCCTGCTCCTTGCAGGACTACCTAAAACTCAACCGTATGACTGAGAGCATCATCTGGATGCTCCCTGAATTCTGACAGGCTTGGTGCCATGACCACTTCCCTGGGGAGCCTGTTCCAATGACTGACCACCCTCCCAGTGAAGAACCTTTTCCTAATGTCCAATCTGAACTTCCCCTGATGCAGCTTCATTCCATTTCCTTGTGTCCTCTTGCTGGTCACCAGAGAGAGGAGATCAGCACCTCCCCCTCCGCTGCCCACTTTGAGGAAGGTGTAGACTTCAATGAGGTCACAGTCTACAACTAATGTTGTACTATCCTTTAATTGTTGGCCAAACGGCACCATATTTAATACTATTTTCTCCTGAATTTTTAGTTAGCTTATTTGGCAGTAGTTAACTTAGTTTTAACGATAGCTTTATCAGTTTTTTAGGGTATTTTTCTGCATTGCCTATTTTCAGATAGCCTGTATATTTTTAGTAACAGCATAATTCAAATCAGGGCAGTTTTCCAGGTAAAATCACAAAGCCATAGGGAAGAATGAGATTTTTGTTCATCTGTAATTGAATATCTGTCTATGCAGGCCCAAATTATTGGAATGCTTTCATTATCTAGCTACATAAATAAAATAGAAAGTGCTAGTTAGTGTACCAATAATATGGAGAAATACTACATGTGGTTTTTAAAAATATTCATTCTCAGACCATGTTAGTTCAATCCAGGGAAAGGCAGAAATAACTTTAATATATCTGGGAGAATCTTATTTCAGTACAGTAACTAGAATCCAGGGTCATCCGTTGCTTGTAATTTGCTTTCTAATACCGCAATGGCGTCCATGCCAAATCAAGGTTTTCTCCAGATGAATCCATGCAGGGTTATTGATTCAATATAAGAATTTTATCTCATGTACAGGATTCTCCAACTTTCTGAGGCATACTAACAACAAGATGTCAAATGATTATCTACTTAATGTTCTTGGAGTGGTGCTTAAAGTGAATATAGGTGTGTATATACACAGGGTATTTTTTGCTCTTTGGAATGAAAGAAGCACATAGTTATCTCTTATCCTAATGAATGTTGCTCTAATTTTTTGTTTTCCATATCAAACAGTTTTTCAGTCTTTGGTATGCATGTACATACCTTGGTATCCCTTCATTAATAACGATGAAATGTCTTGAATGACTTGGACATTGGAATAAGAGCAGAATATTGTGACTGGCCAAATGACTAGTGTAGCTATTCTTTTTAAGAAAACTTTTTCTTATTTTGTATTTCAGGTGATATTTGAATCTGTCTCTTTGAAAGGACATCCAGGGTACATAGCTGTGGATGAAGTCAGAGTTCTCGCCCATCCATGCAGTGAGCACTCTTTGTTTTTTCTAACTACATCAGTGTGTTACGTACCAGGCTTTACAGTCTAAAGGAGTGATTTACCCATTTTGGTCAGCACTAAAATGTCATCTTCTATGCCTCTGAGACACCTAAAGACAATCAGCCCTGCATAATTACATAACTTTGCAAGTTGTGCAAAAAGCAAAACTGCTCTCAGTCTATAGCTAGTGCCAGGACATCTGTGGAATTCTCCCTTCCTCTCTTGTTATGAGAACATAAAACTGATTGTTTTATTATTTCTGAATTGTATTGCTGTAGAAAACAATCTAAAAAGCTTCTGATAATATCCTGTGTGGTTAAGTTAAGAAGAAACAAACAAATTGTTTCAGTATTTCCTTGGTAAAGGACATATCCCAAAGGTGTGTGTGTCTCAACAAATGTTAAACCCACTCAGCATCCCCCTAAAGATATTAAAAATAAGTCTCATTCAGACAATACACTTGCACAGGAGTAGAAAGTAATGCAGGTCCATTACACTGTTCAAAAATATTAGTACTGCATTTCTTTTATCGCAGCCATAATAATAAGCTTAGATTATTTTTTTTTTCTATTTAAAGAAACCTTGAGCCTCAGCCTTTGAGTCTGAACTTGTTTGCTTTCTCTATGCATCTACGGAGTGGCTTGAGGCCTTTGTGTGTCTATGTTGTGTATGTAGCATACAGTTTCTTCTAAAGATTTTTTTACAGCCTCTCTCACTCGTTCATAGTTTTAGTAAGTCAGTGACAGCTGCTCACAAAAAAAAAATCATGGATCATATTGATGGAGTGAAATCAACTAATTTTCTTGCAATAGGAATTTCAAAGAACAGCTGCCATTCAAAGTGACAGACATGGTTCTGCTCAAGTTTAACAGGACATTTCTGATAACTGCAGTATGGTTAATTGCTGTTTAACTGAATTATATTTGTATTTACCATGTGCTCATTGCTCAGGCCTTTGGGTGCATTTACTTCATTAAGAAATACTTACAATCTGTATTAACCAGATGTTGCTGATAACTGGCAGCATCTAAACAAATCTCCCAAATGGCCTGTGTGCATTCCACAGCATGTTGGGTTATGACTGATAGCTTTACTGGGAAAGAGACCACTGAACAAAGCTACTAGGCAAAGCATAGACAAGAAAGTTATGGGATTTTAAAAAAAAGCCAACAGACAGGATGCTGTGTTATACCCCTATTTAATCAAGTATTTAAACTGATTTAAGTGTATTCATGGTCACTCAAAACCAAAATGATTCAAACAGTTTACTACTCTATTTTGAATCAGTTTGCAACCTGCAGCATACAGAACTCACTACAATCTGCAAGTTCTCTGCAGTCTTTGTAAATGCTTCTCCTGTCTGATTCCCAGTGCTTTTGTTGTTCAGCAGTGACAGCCACTAGGGTAAATGTCACCAGAGTGTGTGCCATTGACTTGTACAGGCTTTTCCCCTCATATTTGTTTTACAATTGTTATAACTCAAAACACAGGGATCATGAAGCTCCTGATGACCCTGGAGGTTACTGAAATTGTTGGTGTTACTTCTTCGTATCTGCTTTACCTTCATAGATGACAGAATAGCAGACAAACCTAAGTATCAGCAAAACTGCAGTGAAATGTCCCTAATGACACAGTAATGGAGAAAAATAATATCTTGGTGTTGCCATTTTTTTTTTTTTTTTGGTCCTGTGAAGGAATGCACTGGAGTATCAATTTTCATTACACTAAAAGCTCGTTGACTATGTGTGCATGAGCACTTGCAATTATAGGACAGCCCTATGATCTGGAAGCTGGGCAGACCTGAGGACTAGGAGTTTGGGATTGGTGTGACTGCACTCACCCAGGCTACGCAGCTTCATATTTGGAGCTGGCTTATATCTGTCCACCTTAGACTGCAGAAGAAATTACTAGTATTAGCCTGCAAATATAATGTAGTATATTCTGACTGTCACCCAGAGGTAGTTTTCCAGTAAACTTTGACACAAATTACTGATCCCCCAGAAAGCACAATGGTACAGACTCGCTATCTTTCAGGAGCTGTCAGCAAACTGAGTGTGTGGTGAATGGGATACAGAAGCTGGACAGAAACATTTGGCAGAGTGCATAGGCATGTGTTCTTTGTTCATGTGTCTATAGTAGAAAATACTTATATGGCAAGTTTCATGCATGCACAGACACAGATGCCCACATCCTTTTGAAGCTATTTGATTCCAACAGAAAAAGATGGGTTGGTATGTCCTTTGAAATTGTGTATTTCATCGGTGTCTAATCATAGTAGAAAATTTAAAGATGAAGTTGAAAAACTCTGATCTTTAGACTCTCAGAAGGCTGTTCAGTGTGTCCTACTAAAAGTTTTCAAAGTTGGTGCACAAGCTTTCTTCTGAAGCCCAGCAAGAACTAAGTTCATTTAAAAGTGTCAGATTCACTACTGTAATCTTTTTTATTTTCTTGTAAGTTCACTTACAGAGGTAAATGAATCTGGTATTTAGTCAAAAAGATAATCCTCTGATCTAGTTCCTTTGTGAACAAATGTGATGTCTGCATTTTAATATCAGTGGGTTAATATTGACTTAATACAGAATTTAGTATCAGCAAAACACTGATATTGGTGATCTTAAACTAGTACAGTGACACAATACTGTCAGTTATATGAATGTTTCATTTAATATCTGGTTTGATATTAATGACATTATTATTCTAAAGGTCTAGGATGTATTTGATAGTCAATAAAATAAATAGGAAAAAAAGACCCTTGTGAAAATTTGTTTTGGGTCAGTCATGCTTGACAAGTTCAGAAGCATTTGATTTTTTTTGACCTTTTTAGAAACACAGTTTTCTGAAGAAAAGAAATTACTCAATTACTCTTTATAGCAAGCAGCAAGAAATTGTGCTGATGACCATGAACTTGTGTTGTAATTTGATCTAAGTTTTTAGATGTACCAGAGTTCTATATGATCCGTTAGGCCCTGCTCTGTCAGATCCATCATCCACCTCATTCTGCAGTGAATAGTTAAATACTGAAGGACAGGTTTATTTTGCAAAATCACTTTATCAAGGATAGGCCCTAATGCTTTGCTGAGTGTTTATATCTGTGTTGATGTAGCACAGTCAATTACTGCCTTGCTCTACCCTTGCAATACTTTGCATCTTTTGTTAGGAAAAGCACCTCATTTCCTACGACTTCAGAACGTGGAGGTTAATGTGGGACAGAATGCGACATTCCAGTGCATTGCTGGGGGGAAGTGGTCTCAGCATGACAAACTCTGGCTACAGGTAAAGTAATGTGCTTTCTTTCGGTGGTTGGTTTTGGTTGGTTTTGGTTTGTTTATTTTTTCAAGTAAAATAAGTAGATAGAGAAAGACTGGGTGGTGGGGCAAAATCTTTTCATCAAGATCCTTTGAGAACTGCCTTAAATTATTTCTAGGTGAGAGTTTAAGGTGACAAAGTACAGAAATGTGATACAGAAGATGGAAAAAACAGCCAGTTACAGCAAAATTTTGGTTTCAAACAAATGCCTATGTAGCCATAAGCACTCAGTCATAAAGCATAAGAGACAGAACAAGTGGAATAGTTCTTCACTTCTGCTTTATTATGCAATCTTCTTTCCTCTTGCCCTCTAAAAATGTCCTCAGCCCAGAGCCAGTGACAATATGCTAAGAAGAAAACGTGAAGCCTGATATTACTACCTGGATGGTGAAAATGGGCAAAAGCAGTTTGTACCCACTGTTTTTCTTCCTCCCAGTTGCCCTTGGCTGCACTGATAGTAGATTGTTCCTTTTAGTCACTCACTAAAAGACCAAAACATTCCCTCTCTTAATGTCTATATTTTCACTCTACTGGTTGGACTTAAAAGACTGGGTTGTGCTATTTAGGTGGGTGTAGTAGCAAACTTAAGAACTCATTTTCAGTTCTAGAGTTAGAAATGGAACATATATCGAACTGAAGATGTGGAGTGCATGTTTCCAAGTGAAGGACAGAATTATTTCTTCTGCCCTTTGAAGTGCTCTGATATGTGGACTCCCACCATTACCATGCACTATACATAAAGACCTTCTAGAAGCTTTTAAAATACTTGAGCTCTTTGCTTCTTCTAAACTTCTGTACCGTTAAGCACCTAATATCCCAAACAACTCAAGAGGATTCTCTTGCTATATGTGCTGTGTGCATACATAGGGCCAACATAAACTTTCAGAATGCTTAAGCCAGTCACCAGTTTTTATTCTCAGCTTGGACTGATGTGACTGAGGGCCTGACCACCCCATATTTGTAACATCTGAGGCAGACAAGAATGGCCTTTGTCATGGTTGCTATGACATTTGTAGTCAAATAATTAACAGATTTACTCAAACTTTTTTAATGACTTCAGACTTTTTAATAAACTTTAAAAATAACAATTTCAAATCTAGTTTAAATACTAGGGGAGGAATCGGTTTACCTAATCATAAAAATGAAAATTAGAACTGGGAAAAAGGCTTGAGTTGGTGCGAAATGTAGTCAGCATTATGTAAAAATGACTTGACAGTCGCTTCAACTGTACTCTCATCACAGCTGCTCTAAAAATTACATTTTTATCTGAAATTTATTAACCTATAGTGTACTTTTAGCATCTACTGAGATATATTTTTGGCTTATTCTTTATCTTTTTTGAGTTCTCACAGTGAAATCTTTCTATGGTGATGACTAGATGTGTGTGAAAACACTTCTGACCTGAAGCAGTATGAGCCTTTTCCTGTGAGAAGCAAGGCTTTGGGAGGAAATCGTTATTGTTGCTAGTAGAAACGTGGTTTCCATTCTCTAAAATTGAAACATTTAATGAGAATAGCCTTGGAAACACACCCCAAAACTGATTACTGGAGATCGGCAAACCAGCAGTGTGTTTTCCTTTGAAACTCCTAATAAACTAGACCAAGTGAGCAAGTTCAGGTGTTCATGCTGTGGAGAACTGCTATTTCTAGCTAATTCTTCATCTGTTCCTCTTCCAGTTGGGAAAATGAAGTCTGGCATTGGTAGAGAGGTTTATTGAGGAATGTTGGACATATAAGGATGTCTCCTCATCCAACCAATTTATTTAAATTGATCCAGAATCAAAGTTTTACATCTGAAAATGCTAAGTTTATCAAATCTTGTTCATTTGTAGCATTTTCCCAGGTGTACACAAACCATTCAGTTGTCATATTTTCATATACTAGCCAGGCCTCTAAATATACTGTGTAGAATTGCATAGTCTGAGCTGTCACTCTAGCCTTTTCAGTAAATATAACACATCAAATGCCGAAATATGTTTCAAAAATTAAATAGAAGTGAAAACTTACATATATGTGTAAGACTATTTAAGCCCTAGTTCATACAATCCTGTAAATTTTTCGAGGGTATGGCTAGCAGTCTTCTCTTGAAAAATTGTGCTTGTATAAAATCTAGCCTCGTGATGTGAACACAAAGGTCTGAGCAATGTTAAGAAGCATGACAAAGAATGAATTACACATGAATGCATATTTGTATCTCTCTTCATAACTTGCATTATTTTTGTCTGCCTTTACAGCAGTGGAATGGAAGGGACACAGCATTAATGGTCACTCGAGTGGTCAACCATAGACGTTTTTCTGCTACTGTCAGTGTAGCTGACACCTCTCAACGCAGTATCAGCAAGTACCGATGTGTCATTCGTTCAGATGGTGGATCTGGAGTTTCGAATTATGCAGAATTAATAGTGAAAGGTACGTTGCATTAAAACAGTAAGTTTATGCAAGTTGATTATTTCCTCCCAGATGGCAACTATGTATAAAACTTGACATCCTATTGGACCTTCTTCTTTCATTCATATTAAATTTAAGTAAGAAAAAAGGGTAAAAGTGATACGAATTTCAATAATTTTCTTAAAACAATTATTTGAATCGAAACTTTGGATACAGCCCTCTTTATAAGCTTTTGTAGTAATGCATGGTAGCTATAGATACTTTTACTGTAGTCAGCTAAACAGTCTGGCTGTCATTCAGCTTCATCTGCCTTTCTTTACAATATTTTATCAGGCATAAATAATCTTGTGATGGAGCATTGCATGTCAGAAGAGTCTGTTCGAGGCTGCTGGGAGTAAATGATGGGAGTGATTCTGCTGATGTCCTGAAGTACACAGTAGAAGCATCAGTAGTTCTTGAAGGATGCTAGGGTTTTAGCCCTGTTATTTACTGTGATTGAAGAGCTGATGCTGTGCCTGACACGTGCAAGATGTGTCTTAATCTTGCCTTCATGAGGCATGCAGTAAAGTGCTATTTACTGTGCTGCTGCTTTTTTTTAATTTCTTTTTTTTTTTTAAAACTTACCCTGACCTGCACCACAGGGATGCTCACTGACTCTTAGGTGGAGAGATCAGAAGGTGGCTAAGTCGCCACCTGTCGCCACCACATTCTGTGTTTGGGGTGGGGGTGATGTGAGATGGGAGGAATTTGAAGTATGGGTCTGCTCACAGAGTATAATTTTGTTGATCTAAATCTTTCACTTTTCTGTGAAAATGGAGGGCTGCTGTAGAAACGAGATCACTTTTGTCCACTGTATTACTTTCTGCCAACTTACTCTGTCATTTGATGATCAGTATACTGATGCATTTACAATGCCTTAAATACAGTGTTGCGTGGTGCAGATATTCAGACTACACAGATCATGAAGAGAGTGGTCCTGTTAGATGCCAAGTGCTTTTAATTCCCACTCGGTGATCTTGTGTTTTGTTCAAATCTGGAGGAATTAATTCATGATTAAAAAGGAATTGAGTTGCTGAGAGTAGCGTTATCTAGTATTGTATCGTAGCTAAATAGAGGGAAAGCAATCTTCTGGAGCAACCAAATATCAGAATATGCTAAGTTGAATAGGTGCCTGACACTTTCATATTCATTGATATAAGAAGGGAAATAATAGAAGAATTAGTTATAAACATGAATGGATGGATGTCCATTGGGGAGAGATGTTGATAGATTCATTGCTGGATTACTCAGGCAGACACCTAGCTAGAAGAACTTTTAGGAGAGTAATATTGTTATGGGAAGGTACACTCCTCTGGTCCTTGCACCTGTTTAGTAAGCAGGTAAGGTTAAGTGGTTCATCTGAGGTTAGTTTGATACAGCACAGTGACACACAGGGATTGCATGGATGAGTGCTTCCAAACAGTCTGACTAATTTTAGTGTGGATAATAGCAAATTTGTAATGCATGCACACAGGCTGAAATGAAAGCAAATTGGAATTGTTTAATTCTGAAGAGATGTTTATTGAATTGCAATAATGTACTTGGGTATACATTAAATTAGTCTGTAATTGAAGTTTTGCTCAATTGATAGTCCTGCCCCTAAACCCACTAAATCCAAGCTGTAATACTCTGCTTCTGACGTGCCTTCTCTTGATCAGTTGAACATAAAATCCTAGGGGATTTCTTCAACAAAGGTTAAGGTTTAAAAGCGTATCTGTATATCTTTTTAATGTAAAGATCCGTTTGCTTCCCTATGCATAAGATTTTTTTATTGTAGTATTGAGAAAGGAAAGAGTAATTTACATTTCTCAATATCGAATGATAATATTTGGTAGATACAGAGAGAGAGTTTTTGCTTTGAGATACGTTTACTTCTTCTACACCCTAAACTGGAACAATAGATAACTATTTTGGCAAATTAAATGAGCAACGAAATTAAACATGCACCACCTTCTGCCACCCCTCCCCCTGCAAAAGTCCTCCCCTTATTGTCTATGTGGACATCTTTACTAGGAACAGTGTATTATTGTAAAGTAATTACTGGAAATCTTATACAAAAGATCATAACTTTATTAATTTCAAATTATTACAGTATATTCAGTGGCAGGAGATACCTTTGCAGTACTGTGAAAATGCTTTTCTGTAGAAGCTATTTGCTGCAGATGCTAATACTTTTCTGTCCTCTGACTCTGTTGCAAGGCTTGTGTAAATGACAATACATTTATTCTTCTCTTTGCACTCTAGAATCATAATAGTCAAGCCAGAGAAACCTATCATTTTCATTTGTACACCTTACCATCCTTTGGTGCTCCAGTGGAAATAGCTCTTCTCTATTTCTTATCCCTTGCTGTTGCACATATAGTAATTTAATACAATTTTGTACAGGGCAGTTTTAAAAAACCCCAGAGATTCTATGTCTTGCTATACTGCTCACATATGAATGGAATGCTTGTTGTCTGTAATTTTCTTTTAAGTAAAAGCTGCGTGGCAGTTACTGATATTCTGAACTAAATGTAGGTTTTGCTTGAGTAAAGATTGTTTAAAATACTGTGGAAATTGGCTGGAATCTTATCATTTAAGGTCTGTATTAATAATAGTGTCCTTCCAGGACACCTGTCACATTATGTAAGGTTGTGAATAACATTTTAAACTCTGTGTATGTGTGTATATGGACATTTGTTTGCAATTGTATTTTTTTCCTGATTCCTTTCAGATATTCTGGATGCCTAAATTAATTACTCAATACATGGTGGGAATCCACAGAGGGCTGATAAAGAGGGAGTATTACAGCATCTATAACCTATTTTTCATGAGCCAATTTTTCTGAGCTTTTCACTCTCCAGGAAGTCCCTCAAAATTATTTTGTTGCTACCTGATGCAAATTCTTTTAAGGCTTATGGCATTTTCTCAGGGTCTGTTCTGCTACTACAGGGGTAGGAGTGCTCAACAGAGCCCCACTACAGACCTCCAAGAGTATGTTTTAGATCTCTTCAGTTTTGTCTTAGTTGATTTTCAAAGTGTTTGGTTAGTCAACATGGATAAAAAACAGTTGGTCTCTTAACTGAGTGGCTTTTCATCATCCTTGTGATATTTGGGACAGCTTGTCTTTTATCAGTCGCTCTTTTCTTGAGGTTTTTAGACGTGAGAAGCTGATGCCTTCAGTGGCACCAGAGGGACAGGTAAGGTTTTTTTTTTCAGAGTTGCTTACTATTTTTTATCTAGGTCTTTTCTGGTATGATACTTGTCACTGTAATTGCACCGTCTGTTTATTAACTTACCAGGTACACAGAGGAAACTGCTCTAGTGATCTGAGTCTTTTCCTAATAAGTAGACATAAGTTTTAAAAAAAAATCCATATACACAAACACCAAACAAAAAACCACAACAAAAAAACACCCTGTCAAATTATCAGAGTTGAGATACTCGAGTGTGAGAAGCATGCTAAATAATTAGAAATTTAAATAAATCTATATATTTAAGCTTCTCCAGTACTAAATATGCTGTGCAAATTCCAGATTCACATTTATAAGGCAGACTCATCAAGGAAAACCTCTACATGTATTTTGACTGTCTCGGTATTTATTATTTGAGCTGTGTCCAGAATAGTTTCAGTTAATTATGAAACAGCAGGAAGTCCTATTAGGAGACAAAGTTTTCTGGAGCTTAAAAGTAGTAAGAAATAAAAACATCTCTATTCTACAGCTGAGCCTGATCTTGGTCTGGAGCTGGCCCTAGAAATGTCCCACTAGGCCCTCCATAGGTTTCCTTGAATAAAACAAGTGCACATGTTAAACATATACTCTGAAGTAGAGCTTGTTCTTGGGATGAAAATATAATTGTCTTCAACGTAATTGTTTAGGATGCTCACAAACTCCAAAGTCTTTCACTTCGTATAAAGCAATTACTAAGAGAAGTGGTAGATATGAAAAAGATTCTTTAAAGTTTTTGTTTGTTGGTTCGTTTATTTTTTTTAATTTATTTTCATCCCTTATGCATGGATAGTTCTATACCACAGGATATTCATGCCAGATGTACTCATTAAAACTAGCATAATATCCTTGCCATCATGGCGTAAAATAACTACTGTTTCTGTGGTTGTCTTAAAGTCCCCATATTTGACTCAGGAGACTGGGGGCGTTGATATGAAAAGTAGACACTGTACTGCAACTATCCTCTTTTGCCATCAGAGTGTCTGAAAGACCGAGTCCACTGCCTCCCTTGGAACCACTTAGGAGATAAGCTCAGCTGTGGTATATGTGCATTTTAGATTTTACTGTTAAAAAAGTTTTTTTTTTTCCTAGTATGCATTAATGAATTCAGACAGGAATTTTCATGCCTTCCAGCTACTTATCAGACTCATCCAGATCACAGAAGTTGCTGGGTAGGTTTGAATTCATCTGCCTGAGTAATGCACATTAATCAAGGTCCTCAAAGTTATCACCTTGTGAACAGGAGAAAGTCTCTTCCTGATGCTACCAACACTATCAGTACAACTGTGATAATGAGGGTTTCCCTCAGGCTGAGTGCTATCTCTTCCTCTATTTTTTCCAGTTTACACAAATAGATTCAGTTTGCGGAATTTACATGTACTGTACCATGAGAGGTTAAGTATAGATTTGATAAAGCATGTAATGATATTGCTCTTTTGAACACTACACCAGTACAAAATGGGTTTTGTGTATGTGTGCATGCAAACCTTTTATGAAGGTTATGCTGCCTTTGAAATTACTGAACAAGGGAGAATGGCTTCATGATTGTAGGGTGTCTGAAAAAGCCACTTACATTCCTTTATTTCTTTGCAGTCACAGTGGTGTAGGGAATGTAATACTCCCTTCCTTGGTGTTCACATCTGGCTGGTAATCACTTGAACTTGGTTTTGCTCTGTTTAATCGTCTAGTTCGGTGTAGTTCAGTAGCAGTTGCTTTAACTCAGTTTTAATCATTAGGTGGGTGTGTGGTGAGAAAACGGGAGGCAAAGGGACT